GTCCTCCTCCTCCTCCCCTCCTCCTCCTCCTCCCTCCTCCTCCTCCTCCTCCTCCTCCTCCTCCTCCTCCTCCTCCCCCCTCCTGCTCCCAGACGTCCTCCGCCTGGTGTTCCTCAACGTCCTTGTCCTGCTCGTCGTCTCCGTCTGCAGGGTCGGCAGCACCGGCCGTAAGGTCTTCGCAATATCTGGTATTGTTCCGTCTCGTCCTCCTCCACCTCTGCCATCCCCCTCCGTCTGCTATTGCTGCTGCTGCGCCTCCCCTGGTCCTGCTCCTACAGCTCCTCCTCCAATTCTGACGGGCGACGCATGCTCGCCTTCGTTTCCCTGGGCTCCCTTTCTTTTTGAATAACTTCTCGTCTGACCACCAGGCGTCAGCAGGGAGGACGGGGCATTTCGCCTGAGTCTTCCTCACCGAGTATGGCCCCGAAGCTTGTGAACTCCAACACTTGCATGTATGGAGGGTGGTGGTTTTCACAGGGTGGCTCTCGCCTCAGCGCTGCTCACATGCGACCTAAACGTTTCTGGCAGTTACACGAATGGGAGTTGTTGGTCTTCAGTATGTGTCTCTCGCCTTAGCGCCAAACGCATTAGCTTTCAAAGCTGCGAACAGATAAATGGATGGTGGTGGACTGCTTCCACCATGTGGCTCTTTCGCCTGTCTGTGCACGCGCACGTTCATCTTGAAAGCTTCCAGTAGTTACACGGATGGAAGGCGGTGCCGCTTCAACATCAAACGTTTGATCGAAGCTTCCCTATTTGTTGTGACCAGAAGTTGAAACCTGTGCAACGGCTATACGGATGGAGGGCAATTCCTTTTTCAAATCGGGGTTGTCGATCGAGACTTGCTCCGGTTCTACGACCAGAGGTTACATGTGCAGCTGCCTTGCACGAGCTGATGGCTGATCTTTCTCACAACGGAGATTTCGCTGGACACTGCCATTGACGTTATGATGCTACGTCGTCGCCGTCATTCTAAGTAACAGTATGGGAAAAAGGGTCCTTTCCAAACCGGAGTTGCTGCCTGAATTGCTAAAGCATGGGGCGCTCGTCTTCCAAGGGGACACCTCCTGCAGTGAAAGCAAATTCTTGTAGAGGCTGAATGGGGATGGGATTAAGGACTAGGGACGGACGGGCGTATCGCAAGGTCAAACTGCTGCACCCTGACGTGCTGCTGCACGCCGAGATGTTAGTACCAGCCGTGCTACTTCGCGGCGCGGTGCCTTCCCACTCATGGACGTCCGGGTCGGGCTGCTGTTCCCCAGCGCGCTCGTAAACGAAGAGCTGCTGGCGCCGCCTGTCGCAGAGCCGTTGCACTCCGAAGTGCTGCACCACATCGAAATCCTAGTGCCCAGCGTGCAGGTCAACAACGCGGTACTCCAGCCAATGCCTGTCCAACTCGTGGGCGCCAGGGCCAGGCTGCTACTCCCCGTCGTGCTGCCCAACGTCGACAGGCTAGGGCCCGTCGTGGCTGGGGTGGCTGGTCTCCAGCTTCTGCTCGCCACCGCTTGCTGAGCAGCGCCATAGCTTGCCGCCGCGGCTCGGCCCCCTCGCGGCGCAGGCGCTCATCTTTCCGCCGTTATCTGGGCAGTGATGGAGCCTGCTGCGACAGCTCACCATTAGCGATGGTCCCGGCGCTGTGGCTGTTGAGTCTTGTCTCCAGCTTCTTCGCGCCATGGCTCGCCGAGCAGCGCCCAAAGCCTGCCGCAGGGGCTCGACCGTCTCTGGGCGCGGGCGCCGATCCCAGCGTTGTAGCCGATGACGCACGGCTTCCAGCTCCCTCTTGCCGCCGATCGCTGTGCCGTGCTGGGGACTACTTCGGCGGCCCACACTTTTCGCACCGCAGGGGTTGATCCCAGAGTTGCAGCTGTTTGGGTTGATCTTCTTGTCGCCATGGCCCTCCGAGCAGCACCCAAAGCCTGACGCCAGGGCTCGGCCATCTCGGGGCGCACGCGCCGATCCCAGCGTTGTAGCCGATGACGCACGGCTTCCAGCTCCCTCTGGCCGTAGCTCGATGGGCGGCGCTCGAACCTGCTGCGACGGCTCAACCCTCTCGCACTGACCCCTGGCGTTGCAGCTGTTGCGGCTGGCCTCCCGCTTCTCCTCGCCGCAGCTCGCTGACCAGCGCCAAGGCCTGCCGCCGCGGCTCGGCCGTCTCGCGGGGCAGGCGCTGATCCCCACACCGTAGCCGATGACGCCGTCTCCCCGCGCCCCCTTGCAACGGTTCTCCGAACGGCGAGAGGGCCCCCTCCGGACGACGCTGCGAGCGTCGGACGTCCAGACCCCCTCGCTGGTGCCGCACCGCACGCGTGCGAGAGGGTAGCGCGGGCGCGGTCTCGAAGCCCGACCCGTCCTCCATGAGGCCCACCGTGGTCAGGGCCCCCCTTTCCGCCCTGGACTCCCCTGTCCGCCCGCGGCGGAAGGAGGGGGGGTCCACGGGCAAGCAAGGGCGCTCCCGCCGTGGCGGCGCCAACCGGAGAGACTGTCCCGGGGGCACGCCGTAGGACGCCACGGTCGTGCCCGCCCGACGGGTCGTGCGGGGCTCCGAAATTGCCGACGCTCGCCTTCTGCTCTCCTCCAGCGCGGGCGCGGGGGCGATGGGGGCCCCGACATCGCCGGCACCCGGGAGACACTCTCCTCGGATGCGCAGCGGCGCGGCGTCGACGGCGCAGGTCCAAGGGCCAGCATCAGCGCCCAACCGTTGTTCAAATCGGCCGAGCGCCTGAACCCCTGTGGCAACAGACGTCGGACGAAGAGAAAGGATACACATTCGCGATGGCACACGGGGGCGTATTCGTCATCCTTTCCCTTCCTTTTGAGCCTCCTCCCCCAACTCCCTCCCCCGCTCCTCCTTCCCTCCCCCCCCTTTGTCCTCCTCCAGGGCCTCTGGAAGGCCCAAAGAGCGGAAAAGACGCAGGGGCAGTCCCAGATCTTCGAAACCCCGATCCTCGAGCCCTGCTCCTTGAACCTCACCCCCCGCGGCATGCGCGGACCCTGGAATGGATAAGCGGCACCGCCAAGGGTTGACCCTGGTGGTGGTGATGCCGTTTTCTCTTGCTCTTCGTCCTCTTCTTCTCCTTCTTCCTCTTCTCCTCATTCTTCTCCTCCTTCTTCTTCTTCTTCTTCTTCCTCCAGGGGCCACACCTGAGGATGCTGGAGGCTGGCAGAGACCCTGGGAGGCCCACAGTGACCCCAGACGCGGTCATCGAACCCCGCTCCTCTTAAGCCCCGTTCCCTCTCCTCACCCGTGGTGGTGGCGTCGCTCCTCCATCCTCCGACCGCTAGGGCTGCGTCGACGGCCCCGCGCGTGTGACGCCATGAATGCGCGGCGGACGGGGCGCCGGGGCGCCTGCCTGACAGAAGTGGGCAACGCGTGCGCGTGAGAAGATTCGCAGCAGAAGAGGAGGAGGAGGAGGAAGAGGAGTGGGAGGAGCGGGAGGAGGCGGAAGACAAGGCGGAGGATAAAGAGGAGGAAAAGTAGGAGGAGGATAATGAGGAGGAGGAGGAGGAGGAGGAGGAGGAAGAGGAGGAAGATGAAGCGCGACACCCACTGCGCAGCAGACCCCGATCCACAATCACCTCTGGAAGAGGGCAGGAAATCACCGCGACTGGCGAGCCGAGATGGAGGGGGAGGGGCATAAGGAGGAGGAGGAGGAGGAGGAGGAGGAGGAGGAGGAGGTGGGCCGCGGCCTGTGGCCTGTGGCCTGTCCTCCCACCGTGGCCTGCCGGTACCCTCCCCCCCGAGCGCGCTCTGCTCCTGGGGTTCCGCGCGGGCGCCGGCGGCCACCCGGTAGACCACGCGGTCGGTCCACGCCGGGTGGTAGCGGCGCCCGAAGGTATCCGAGCCTGCTTTGCACGGCGCGGCGACGGAGGGGGAGGGCGGCAAGGCTTCCCAGACATCAGCACAAATACGAAGAGGGCGTTGGATAAGGAACCATTGCAGAAGGAGTCCAGGGTCTGGAGGCCAATGCTTTTCCAATCGTGGACTGGCCAGGGATACCACCGTCTGAAGCCTCCTGGGCAAGCTCCTCAACCACCACCCCCACCGTACCCGGAATGAAACCCGGGCCCTGGGGAAGGGATCGGGGCTTCCAGGGGCCACGCATGGAGAAGTCAAGGCAGGTCGGAGGCGAAGCCCAAGATTGCCCTGTGCATTCTTGGCCCTCTCTGGGGCGATCTGGGGCCTCCCGGGCCCTCCTGGGGAGGCTCCTGGAGAGGCTCCCGGGGAGGCTCACTCGGGAGGCTTCCTGGGGACCTCCTGGGACTTCTGGTAGGGGAACGAACAATGACATAAACATACAACCTCAGAGGTCCGCGCGGATTTCTCGGATCCGCGCTGGACCCCCCTGGCGGTGCCTCTGGCGCCGCCCCTGGCGCGCTCCACGCGCCAGGGAGGGGGGTCCAGCGCAGATCCAAGAAACCCGCGCAGACCTCAGAGTTTTTATGTTTATGCCATTTTTCGTTCCCCTATCTGGCACAGGAGCAGGAGGCCGATGTATGGAGGAGTCATGAAACAAGGAGTGGGTAGGAATCCTGAATGGGGGCTGTCATGGACATCTCCTCGCATGGGTTTCACACGAATCGGAATGAGTACGCCACTGGTAATTCACACATGCCTTCGTTTGAGCGGCACGACATCTTCGACGTGGGGCGGGGCTTCCGTGGGGCGGGGGTCCACCGGCTGGTTCCGATGTTCGACTGCTTGACTTTGTTTGGGCTTCGTTCCTGTGACAAAGACAACGAAAACCCGAGTTTGTTGGACGCGTCCAGCCCGAGCCCACATCTGCCGCGGCAGCCAAGAACACATGGACATAATAACCACGGCAGTGAAGACATATGAACGGAAGCGTCCACGCGTATACATATACTATACATGCACGCGCAGTGAAATGGAAAACATACAACTGGCAGCCAAGTGAAAAGAAGGCTCTCTGTGAGCACAAACGCTTCAGCGCGCACAAAAGTCGGAGGAAGACGATACTCGCACATGTACGAAACCCGCTGAACAAGCCGATGTTGTCATCACTGTGACACTCTGTCATTGCGGAAACGATTGCAGACTGAGAGCTGTCCTGAAATATGTTTCGCAGGCTGCGAAAGGGGCATTTCATGTAAATGTGCACAATGGCGACTCGATCATGGACTTCGAATTCCAAGCTCCCGAGCACGCATGCGTTGAATATTAAGTATGAGAATATCACGTTCGCCAACTGACTTGCAATGGCGAATATATGAACCGACATATGTGCTGTTGCTTGTCTTCTTGGTTGGCCTAATCTACTTACGCAGGCCGAAAGATTTTCCTCTTGAGCCCGAAATGTCGGAAGCGACGCGCCGTTCAGGTGAGCGGATACATGTAGCGCTCTCTTCGGCTTGAAGCGTGCCATATGCTATGGGAGGAGATGCGGGAATTGGCCGGGCCCGCTGTATAACCCCACGCCCCGGTATAATCATAGCGTTGGTCAGCAGATCCACAGTACTGTGGATAACATGATGCTTCACGTGCGGTGCCCCGCGGATTCCATTTCCCCTGGGCCCGGGATGTTAGTTCTGATCAAATATTTATTCCAGAGAATCGGTGGACCTAGTGGTTCTCCCACGGGAAATTGCATCCGCGCAAAACAAATATAGGATCCACACCACTGTCGCACACCCGAAATGGGATCAAAATGGATCCATCGGTGTCTTCGTATCTTAAAACCCAAGAGGTAAGAACTTTTAGCCTGGGGAAGTATGCATATATATATATATATATATATATATATATATATGTGTGTGTGTGTGTGTGTGCGTATGACAGCAATGCGGATCGGTTTGATTGCTGGCAATGCCCCCTGTCAGCGGTGAGGGATGTGAGACACGTGTCAGAAATGTAAAGAGAGAGAGAGAGAGAGAGAGAGAAACAGAAAAAGAGAGGAAGTACTGCAAACATGCGGATCGAAGGCACAAAGAGAGAGCGAGAGAGAGGGAGAGAAGACGAAGGGGGAAGACATATAATGAAAGAGAGAGAGAGAGAGAAAGCAAGAGAAATACAGAAAAACATGAATGCCGCCCATACATGCATGATGACAGGGATGCACATACAGGAGAGAGCGTGATCCACCGCCGCTTTACTGTGGATAATTGCCAACCTTTTCCTCCGGAACCCGGGGGTCTCCCCCCCCCCCCTCCGAAAATCACCCCCCCTGCTGGAACCCCCCCCCCCTTCCCCCCGGCAAAACCCCCCCCTCCCCTAACCCCTCCCCCCCCTCCCCCTCCCGAAAACCGGGGGGGGGTCACTACCGGTTCGAACCCCTCCCCCCCCCCCCCCCCCCCCTCCGGATCTGGAAAACCGGGGGGTGGTCACTACCGGTTGGACCCCCCCCCCCCCTCCCCCCCCCCCCCCCTCGAAAACCGGAGGGGGGTCACTACCGGTTCGACCCCCCCCCCACGCACCGCCAGCAAACGACTCCCGGTCCCTACCACCGCTCGCATCACATCCCCCACTGTTGTTCCCAGCACCACTGTCCTCACCACCACTGTCCCCACTGGTTCCACCACCGTCCCTATTGTCCCCACCAGTGCCCCCACCACTGTCGCACTGTCCCCACTGTTCCCACCACTGTTCCCACCACGGTTCCACTCTCCCCACTGTCTCCACGGACCCAACCACTGCCTATCCCCACTGTCCCCACTGTCCCACTGACTCCTCCGCTGTCCCACTGAGCTGTCCCACTGTTCCCACCACTGTCCCCACTGTCCCCACCACTGTCCCCACTGTACCTCTGTCCCATTGTCCCACCGCCGTCCTCGCCACCGCCTTTACCACTGTCCCCACCACCATTGTACCCTCCACTGTCCCACTGTTTCCACCTCATTCCCACTGTCCCACACCACTGTCCCCACCACCACCGTCCCCACCACTGTCCACTGTCCCCCCTGTTCCCGCCATTGTCCCCACCACTGTCCCCACCACTACCGTCCCCACCACTGTCCCACTGTCCCACTGGCCCCACCATTGTCCCGCTGTCCCCTCACCACTGTCCCCACCAACACCGTCCCCACCACTGTCCGCACCCCCACTCGTTTTTCGAGGGGGGGGGGGGTTCGAACCGGTAGTGACCCCCCCCTTTTCATGATGAACTGGGGGGGGGGGGGAAGGGTTCGAACCGGTAGTGAACCCCCCGGTTTTCCGGAGACGGGGGGGGGGAGGGGTTCGAAACGGTAGTGATCCCCCCCGGTTTTCCGCCAGCAGCGGTAGAACACGCTCTTTCACATACATAGAAAGAGAAAGAGAGGGAGAAGGAGCCACAGTGCGAGATGTGAAAAAACACATAATTAAGACGATAGACAAACGAGATTGCCAACGCACGAGAATTAAACATTCCAATCCCAGACCATCGGGGTTGAAATCTTGAAATCTACAGAATCCAGTCCCTGACTTCCAGACTGACAAATTGAAGTATGAAAGAGTCAATCCTGTCCACCCGGATCTGGAAATTGGGTTCCAACTTTTTTCTTCAAAATTTCGATTATCAAGCCCTCGCCTCCTGATTGAAACCTGGAAAAAACCTTACTTTTTCAATATTTCAATTCTCAGTCCTTGGCCTCCGCGCTCGTCCTGCAGCAGCGCCGCTGGCGGCAGCAGGGCCGCAGGCGGCTGCAGTGGCCCTTGCCGGCCCAACGGTGATTGCAATGACCCGGCGGCCTGTCCCCCCAGCATACCCTCTCGACCGCCCCGCGATCCTGATGTCGGCTCGCAGCGTTCCGAAAGAACGCAGCAACAGCAACAGCAACAGCAACAACAGCAACAACACAAGCAAACTAACCAACAAACAAACAACAAGATCCCGCATCGCGGAATCCCACTTGAGCCCCGCACCCAGGGACAGTGAATGACCGTTCGGCCCTCTCACTCTGACCAGCGCGCCCGGATTGAAAATCACAACGTTACAGATATCAATCCTCATCAAATCGCGTTGGAAAAATGAGCAACTAACAAACATTTGACGTTTTCAATGTTTCATTATTCAATGCCCTTATCCGCAGCCCCGGGATTGAGATGTTCAGATTTCAATGTTTCAATCCGACGAGCTCGTTTTCATATTTTCGATGTTCAGTTCCGCGCCGAGTCAGCAAATCGGGACACTAACAACAACATGAGAGACACGACAAGCAAGACCGACATGATGAGACGCGTGCGGCCCCCGGCGGCCAGCCAGCGCAGCAACGACACGCAACCCCCATGAGGATCACACTTCGCGCATGGATCGGCTACACGCAAGACTGACCCTCGGCAAAAGCGCTCTTGGTCTGCGGCCGAAGGCCCTTCGGGGATACCACCAGGCGCGCAAGCCGCTGCTTTAGCATCGCATTCAGCAATCGGGAGGCCCCATTGGGCCCGCACCAAAGGTCACTCTCACGTTCTAGATGGGATCCGAGTCGATGAGGTCGCAGGATCTCGCCGCGTCGCCGATGTGTCGGTGATGTATCGCCGATGCATCGGCGATGCATCGGCGAAGTCGGCGTGGGGAAGAACGGGCTCCACATCGAGACGCATCGTCGATGCATCGGCGATGCGGCGCGATCCTACGACCCCATCTGCTCGGACCCAACTTGGGAGGCCTGGAAAAGGTCACTCCAGCGAAAGGTATCTCTTACGTGTAACAGCATGGACAGTTCCGCGTCTCTGGGGAAACCAAACGGTACCCATACACCGTTGCTCCCCGGACCTTTCCCGGGGTGCGTTCTGACCAGGATTTCAGGGCGAATCTAGCGGTGGCGACGAGAAGGGCCTCCGAGGAGATCCCAAAAAGGGGAAAACGGGCGACGGGGAGAGGTACAGTAGGAGCTCGATCACAAGAAACCTTCCACAAGAAACCCAACCCTGAGACACCAGGACGCCTATTGATTTTTGGTGTGGGAACCTCACACCTTCCAAAGCAAAACCATAGAAACGAAAACCAAGAAACCCAGGGCGCCCTGGAGGCAAGCAGGGTGTTTATTGGCATGGATTTCCGTTGTTCTGCGGCAACTCATGGGAGCCTCCGGTACCATCTTGTTGACTCTTGCGCGTCGACGCTAGTCGACGCTAAATCGACGCTTATCGACGCTCAGTCGACGCTCATCGACGCCAAACCGGCGCTATCTCACCGACTCCAACACGCCAGTCGACGCGAATCGGCGATACAGACGGAATCGAGAGGCTACGCTTGGCTCCCATGATGCGCCACCGAACCACCGCACCGTCTCCTCCTTTCGGGGATGGACAGACCCCCCTTTAGTAAAACATGGTTTAGTGAAAACGACCTGAGGCTCAATTTTGGCGGGCGCAAGCCTGGAAAAGAACGGCCGCGGCGCCCTCTCGAGAACCGAAAACGGACAATTTTCTAATCGACGTGTCACTGTTGGGGGTTCTGTGTCCATGGATTTTCGGTGTGGTAACGTCACGGTTCCCTTAGTAAAACCATCGGAACCCAAGAAACCCAGGGCACCCTGGAGGCAAGCGGGGTGTTTCTTGGCATGGGTCTCCACTGTACGCTGGGCTCCCATGATGCGCTAGCGAACCACTGCACCGTCTCCTCCTTCCAGCCTCTCGCCTCGCGCGCTCCGGCGCGCCCCCTCCTCCTCCTCCTCCTCCTCCTCCTCCTCCTCCTCCTCCTCGGCCGGCGCTCCGGCGCGCGAGGCGAGGCTCCAAGGCCGTGCGCGGCTCACAGCCGCCCCCGCGCCGGGGAGCCTGGCACGTACCCGAAGGTCGGGGGGAAGCGCACCTCGGCAGGGCGGCCGGCCGGCCTCCGTCGGCTCCAGCGGCGGGCGCTGCTCGTCGGCGTCGTCGTCGTCGTGCTCGGCCATGTTTGTGCCGTCGCAGCGCGGCGGAGGCCATCCGCACGCGCACTCAATCAAGGGGCCCCAGAACACACCAATAGATACATACAAAGAAGAGTATCCCCTATATTTTTCCATATTTTCGGGGTTTTTGTCTTCCCCCCCACTTCCCATATTTTCCCATATTTTCCTGGGGATCGACGATTAATTGTGTCTGTGTGTTTTTTCCCCTCCTGGCTCAAGTGGTACGAACTGTCGGGCGGCACGAGAGGGAGAGGAGGCAACAGGCCACAAAAGTAGGCGGGGCAAAGCAGCAGCAGCAGCAGCAGCAGCAGCAGCAGCAGCGGCGCTGCCAGAGCTCCCCTCCGAGCCCATCTGGCCTAAAGCAGGGCTAGGACCGGGACAAATCCCTCCAGAGCGTTCCGGAGCGCTCTCAGGGCGTTCCGGAACGCTCTGGAGCGGCCGCGGCGCCCAATACATCCTCCAGACCCGCCGATTCTCAGAGATTTCGAGTTATCCCGATCCGATTTTGCCCTGATCTTCGCGCCGTTTTATGGCCGCGGGGCGGGCCAGGGCTGGCGCCCGCTCTGCGGCCGGGCGGGCCGGACTCCCGCCACCCTGCTCGGCATCAGCTCTCTCTCGGCCTCCCGTTCGACGGCCGAATGGGGGCGCAGGTGGAGAACGAGGCCCGGGGGGGGCCCTCTGGGGCAAGAGGAGCAAGAGACGGGCGCCCCCATCGCGTTGCTGTTGGTTGTGTGTGTGTGTGTGCCTGTGTGTGTGTGCGTGTGTGTGTGTGTGTGTGTGTGCTTGTGTGAACACGTGCTCTTGGGGTTGCTCCTCGCCCGGCGATGCGTGGGTCGCCGGCCGATCTTCTCGGGCCCCAGCCGCACTCTTCGGGCGCTCTTCTGGCGAACTGGTGAACAGGTCCGAGCTCGGAACGGGGATGCTATATAGATGAATATGAGAGGCCCACAGGAGAGGATGCTGCATAGAATGCAGACGACGAGGGAGTGATTCTGAGGCCTTCGAGGGATGGGGATGCTGCGGGTTGGAGGTGGCCTGGGGGGCTTGCGCGGTGGACGACCCTCAGAAAATCGGGCAAGACGGCGGATGGAGATACGCTGCCCACCCAGAAGAGAAAGAGCGGCCCAGAGGGTAGAATAGGTGAGAACTGCTCACGTTGGCCGCCCCTCCTTGTCTCTGCTGCAGACTGGAGCCAGTGACTGGCAACCGCCCCCCTTCTCCCCATAATGTCAGCTTGTAATTAACCAAAACGTGGGGGGCGCGTGATGAATTACTCCGACGGTAGGACCCCACATGAGAATATGTTTAACTTGCCTGGGAATATCCTCCTGTCCCCTCCCTTCTCCCACCTACTCCTGCCTCCTCCTTCTCCTCCCGCCTGCTCATCCTCCTGCCTCAACCCCTGCCTCCTCCTCCTCTTGCCTCCTCCACCACCTCCTCCTTTTCCTCATCCTTGTCCCTCTCCCTCTCCCTCCTCCTCCTCTTCTTCTTCGTTTCCTATGTATTCGTATTATTCTTCTTCATTTTATTAGGGGTACTATTATTATGGTTCGCCTTCTTATTAGTTGCCTGAGTATTCTTCTTATTGCTATAGTTATGAGTAGTCATCGTCTTAGTAGGGTTGTCATAGTGTTCCCCCTCTTCTTTTTATTAGTATTACGATGGAATGGTTTATTAGTATTGTTAGTATGATTAGTATCGTTATTGCTATTGATATTCGTATTAATTGTATTATTCATATTATAATGAAAGATGGTTATTGTTATTATCACGAGCGTGAGTCTAATTATGATGTTTCGTCGTCCTCATCCTCCTCCTCTTCCTTCCCCCGCGCCTCCTCCTCATCCTCCTCCTCCTCCCTCCTCCTCCCCCTCCATTGCCCCTCCTCCCTCCTCCTTCCTTCCCTCCTCTCCGCCTCCTCCTCCTCCTCCTCGTTCCCATCTTCCCTCCCCCTCCTTCTCCTCCTCCTCCTCCTCCTCCTCCTCCTCCTCCTCCTCCTTCTCCTCCTCCTCCTCCTCCTTACTTCTTCCTGCCTCCTCCTGGGGCCCTTCTGGCCTCATGGAGCCTTCTGGGCCTCCTGGGACCTTCTGGGGCCTCCTAGGGCATTATTATTGTTATTATTAATTTAATTCTTATATTCTTATTATTCTTATTCTTCTTCTTATTATTATTATTTATTATTGATATTATTATTATATCCTCCCCCCTCCTCCTCTTCCTCCTCCTCCTCTCTCCTCCTCCTCCTCCTCCTCTTCCTCCTCCTCCTCATCTCCTCCTCCTCTCCTCTCCTCCTCCTCCTCCTCCTCCTCCTCCCTCCTCCTCCTCCTCCTCCTCCCCCTCCTCCTCCTCCTCCTCCTCCTCCTCCTCCTCCTCCTCCTCTCTCCTCCTCCTCCTCCTCCTCCGCCTCCGCCTCCTCCTCCTCCTCCTCCTCCTCCTCCTCCTCCTCCTCCTCCTCCTCCTCCTCCTCCTCCTCCTCCTCCTCCCCTCTTCCTCCTCCTCCTCCTCCATCCTCCTCCTCCTCCTCCTCCTCCTCCGCCGCCTCCTCCTCTCCTCCTCCTCCTCCTCCTCCTCCTCCTCCTCCTCCTCTCCTCCTCCTCCTCCTCCTCCTCCTCCTCCCTCCTCCTCCTCGCTCCTCTCCCTCTCCCTCCTCCTTTCCCTCTTCGTTTCCATATTCCTCCCCCTCCCCCTCCTCCTCCTCCTCCTCTTCTCCTCCTCCTCCTCCTCCTTCTCCTCCTTCTCCTCCTCCTCCTCCTCCCTCGTCCTCCCTCCTCCTCCTCCTCCTCCTCCTCCTCCTCCTCCTCCTCCTCCTCCTCCTCCTCCTCCTCCTCCTCCTCCTCCCCCTCCTCCCATTATGTTTCTTCTTATTATTAGTACTAGTCGGAGGTGAGGGGGTGAGATCGAGTTGGAACGGAGAGCCCCCTTACCGGGAAATCGATTTCGGTTTCGTGTTCGTGCGTGCCGTGCGTGCGGGCGAGGCGAAGCTGCGTGGGCGGGCGAAAGAAAGTCTCCTGTGGCTGAGGCGCGGCTGGACCAAATGTCTCCCTTCCGGGCGGCCGGGGGCCCGCGGTGTCCCGCCGGTGTCCCGCTGGTGTCCCGTGCGGCTGAGGCGCGGCCGGACCAAATGACTCCCTTCCGGGCGGCCAGGGGCCCGCGGTGTCCCGCCGGTGTCCCGTCGGTGCCCCGTCGGTGTCCCGATGATGATGATGTTGATGAGGATGACGGTGCTGATGGTGATGGTTATGGTGACGATGATGGTGATGATGGTGTTGATGGTGTCCCGATGATGATGATGATGGTGATGCGGATCGATTGTGAGATCGATAGTGAGGTCGAATGTGAGATCGATCGTGATATCGGTTGTGAGATCGAACGTGAAGCCGACTGTCAGATCGATTGTGAGATCGGTTGTGATATCGATAGTGAAATCGATAGTGAAATCGGTGGTGAGATCGATTGTGCGACAGAATGGGAGATCGTTTGTGATATCGATGGTGATATCGATAGTGAAACAAATAGTGAGACAGAATGCGAGATCGATTGTGGGATCTATTGTAAGATCGATTGTGATATCGATCGTCATATCGATTGTGAGACCGATCGATTGAGATCGAAAATGAGATCGATTGTGAGTTCGATAGTGAGATCGATGATGAGACCGAATGTGAGATCGATTGTGAGATCGGTTGTGATATCGATCGTGAGATCGATAGTGAGACCGAATGTGAGATCGATAGTGATATCGAAAGTGCGTTCGATAGTGAAATCAATAGTGATACCGGATGCGAGATCGATTGTGGGATCGATTGTGATATCGATCGTGAGATCGATCGTGAAACCGAATATGAGATCGATAATGAGATCGATAGTGAGTTTGATAGCGAGATCGATAGTCAGATCGAATGCGAGATCGGTTGTGATATCGATTGTGAGATCAATAGCGAGACCGACTGCGAGATCGATTGTGTGATCGCTTGTGAGATTGATTGTGAGATCGATAGTCAGATCGATTGTGAGATCGATCGATTGAGATCGATTGTGAAATCAGTAGTGAGTTCGATAGTGAGATCAATCGAGTGCGACGTTGGTCCCTCCTCCCCCCTCACCTCCTTATCACCCGAAGGGTGGTCTATGCGGTATTATTGTTCTTCTGGTTATCCGTAGAAGTATGATTATCATTCTTAAACTTCTTCTTAGTATTCGTAGTATTCTTCGTTGTGTGTGAGTCCCTTACTATTATGAATAGTGGTGCTCGTTTTCTTGTTACTATCATTCGTAACATTATTATTATTATTATTCGTATTCGTCGTCTTATTATGCGTCTCTTTCTTATGATATTATGATTATGATGGTGATTATTAGTATTATCATTATTATTATATTTATTATTATTATGATTACGATGACTAATATTAGTATTATTATAATTATTATTATTATGATTATTAGTATTATTATTATTAGTATTATTATTATTAGTATTAGTCCTCCTCCATCTTTCCCTCTCCCTCCTCCGCCTCCCCCTCCTCGTCTCCATCTTCCTCCCCCTCCTCCTCCTCCTTTTTCTCCTCCTCCTCCTCCTCCTCCTCCTCCTCCTCCTCCTCCTCCTCATGCCTCCTCCTTGGGCATCCTGCCTCCTCCTGGGGCCTCTTGGGGCCTCCTGGAAAATCCCTGGGCCTCCCAGGGCATTCCTCCTCCTCCTCCTCTTCCTCCTCCTCCTCCTCCTCCTCCTCTTCCTCCTCCTCCTCCTCCTCCTCCTCCTCCTCCTCCTCCTGCGGAACAGGACCTCCAGGAAACGCGCGACGTGCGTCCCAGCGGCTACGCGCCGGAAGACGACCCAGAAGAAACGCACGCCAGAGGACAACCCGGAGAAAGCACGTGAGGCGCGGGTTTCATAGTGAGGGGGCTCCCGCCTGAGATTCCTCGCAGTTCACTCACAGACGAAGTTCCAACCCAATCCTTCCTCCACATTCAAGCCTGAGGAGCCCAGAAGTGACGACGGTCACACGAAGCCCATGACCCTCCCCGGATTCGAACATGAACTGCGGGCCCCATAGAAAAGGGATTCCCGCCTGAGACTTCCTCGCGATTCACTCACAGACGAGGCTCCCGCCTCATACTTCCTTCATATTCAGGCCTCAGGAGCCCACAAAAGACGACGGTTACAAAAGGCCGACAACCTGCTTCGGATTCGAACATGAAGCGCGGGCCCCATAGGGAGGGGGCTCCCGCCTGATTCTTCCTCGAAATTCACTCACACACGAGGCTTCCGCCCGATACTTCCTTCATATTCAGGCCTCAGGGGCTCAAAAAAAACGAAAGTTACAAAAGGCCGACGACCCGCTTCGGATTCGAACATGAAGCGCGGGCCCCATAGGGAGGAGGCTCCCGCCTGAGTCTTCCTCGCAATTCACTCACACACGAAGCTCCCGCCCGATACTTGCTCTACGCTCACGCCTCAGAAGCCCAAAAGTGACGACACGAGGCCGATGACCCGCCCCGGATTCGAACATGAATTGCGGGCCCCATAGAAAAGGGGTTCCCGCCTGAGACTTCCTCGCGATTCACTCACAGACGAAGCTCCCGCCTCATACTTCCTCAATACTCAGGCCTCAAGACCCCAAAAGTGGCGACGGTCACGCGAGGCCCATGACCCGACTCGGATTCGAACATGAAGCGCGGGCCCCATAGGGAGGGGCCTCCCGCCTGAGACTTCCTCGTAATTCACTCACAGACGAGGCTCCCGCCCGAGGCGACACACAGGCGAGTGATGATCATGATGATGGGAGTGATGCCGATGATGAGGCCAATGGTGATGACTGTGTGTGGGTGATTGAGTGCGTGATAGTGCGATCGTCCTTTGTGACTGATGATGATGATGGGGTGAATGGTTGAGTGTGCGTGATTGTATGCGTAATAGAGTGATCGTGTGTGGTGAGTGTGTGGCTGATGATGATGGTGCGACTGGTTGAGTGAAGGAGCGTGCGAAGGGAGAAAGAAACGGAAGGTGTTATGATAATGGTGCGTGGGTGATTGAGCGAGTAAAAGGATGTCCAGAGAAAACAAGAACCCCACTTAGAATGTGGGGAACAAAACGATGGTGCTGTGATGCTAATAATGATGAGTGATGAGGGGTAGTTTGGAACGAAAGGAACAAAAGTAAACGGGTGAGTGTGATGACGAGGGAGTGATGATTGACTGTGAATGAGTGTGTGTGTGCGCGCGTGGGAGTGGTGATGATGGTGTGAATGATTGAGTGAATGCGTGCGACGGGAGAAAAAGAGAGGGGGTGAGATGTGAGGTTCCTGCGCGGGGGGTGCGCAGAGAAAACAAAAAGAAGCACTTTGGACGTGGGAGAAAAATGGTCTCCCTGTGCTGCTCGGGCGAATCGCGGGGGGGGGGGCCGCCAAATTGAAGCACACCGCGGCGGCGCTGGTGATTAGCGCCGACGCCCGGCCGCCAGCTAGAGGGCGACAGGGTCCTCGTCGCCCGCCCTTCCGCAGTCTTGTCCTCGTCATCGTCCTCGTCCTTCTCCTCCTCCTCCTCTTCCTCCTGATTCTCCTCCTCCTCGTCGTTCATGCCGTTTGCCATCATCTGCGGCGCGGTGGTTCCCCGAGCTGTCCGAGCCCTGGCGCGCGCGAGTAGAACATGTCTCGCGCCCCGCGGGGTCTATTCAGCAGCCACGCCAGGGGGGGCATCAGAAGTGAATCACAAGCTGACACTGCCGCAACACGCTCCCCACTCCCCCCCCCCCCTTTGGGGCATGCGCGCGCCGCACGTCCGCCCTGGCGACCGCCCCCGTGGCTCCGGCGGGCAGTGACGGGGCAAAGCGGTGACGGGGGGCAGCCTCGGCCCGGCCAGCTCCAGTGAATGGCAGCTGGAGGGGATGCGGCAGCGCCTCTGCGAGAACGGGAGACGGATGTGAGCATATAGTCGGACCAAGGACAGAATATTGAGCAGGGACTGGCCGTCCCAGCATTCCTATAGTCCCACCACGAAATGTTACTAGAACCCAAAAATGTTCTAACCATAAAAAGCAATGTTCTTAGAACAGAAACCCGATGCGATAAAACAAAACAGCTCCAGCCAGAAATGTTCTAAGAACATTTCGTGGAAACCACAAAAGGGTATTGGAACATTGTTTGGTAGGGCTGTAGGCGAGCCAGGACGCTTCGCCACTGCTTGAGAACAACCCCCCTCAAAAACAGGAGACCCTCCGCCGGCCAGAACACACAGGACATCCAAGGGTGCCCTCTCCAAGATGCAGAAGAGCATCCAACAAGCACGAAGAACATCAAGGCACTATTCCCGAACCGACCTCGATAGCATCCCTCGGTCCGACCGTAAACCGCCGGGCAGGTCCTCGGCAATTCGTTTGGGGTCGCGCTCGGGCTGAACCCGACACTTTTTGGGGGTCGGCGGGGCGAGAGCGAACCTCTTCCGCTAAAAGCTAGGCGGGCTACGCGCAGCTTTAATTAGGGAGACAGGGCACAGGCGGGCGGGGCCTCAGGCGGCCGGAGTGGGCGGCACCCGACACAGAAACCGCCTGACCTCCGCAAGGGCCGGGGGGTGGCTCGGAACGGATCTGCGGCGCCCGAGCTGGTGCACCCGTTGACATCCGGGCGCAGCCCAACGGCAGAGGCAGGGGAAGAAAGGGGCCTCCTACTGGGGTGCGGCCCGACGATCAGAGGAGGTGATGGGAGGAGGAGGAGGAGGAGGAGGAGGAGGAGGAGGAGGAGGAGGAGGAGGAGGAGGAGAAGGAGGACGAGGGTTCTCCTCCTCTTCCCAGCAGCTGCTCTGCTCTTATTGGGGTGCGGCGGCGGTCATCGCGAACGCGCAAACGACACCCGCGGACACCGCCCCTAAAAGCTAAAAGGCGTGCGCAGAGCGGGCAGGTGCCCCGTAGACCCCAAGATGGGCGGCTCGGCCCGCTTCCACCTCACCAGCCTGGGAGGACCTCAAGGTCTCCTGGCTTGACGTCCAGGGCGAAGGCGCCGAACGGAGTCGGGGCCATGGGCCCCGAGGCGAATTGCGCAGGGGGGGAGAGAGGGAGGAGCAGTACGCTTGTTGCCATCCAGGCGAAGCCCAACGGCAGAGGCAGGGGAGGAACGGGGGACAACAAGGGAACAAGAAAGTGGAACCCGTTTGTTTTCGACTCCGTGTTCGCACCCCCTCCCCTCCCCCAGACTCAAAGTTGGCGTCCGGCCTGCTGGCGGCCCTGGAGGGTCCACGTTTCGTTGTCCTTTCGAGCCTGTGGTCCTTACTGCCCAGGGTCATCTTTGACTAGAGGAGGGGGAGAGGGGAGCTAGGAGAACAAACAATGACACAAACATAAAAACTCGGAGGTCCGCGCAGACCTCCGAATTGTTATGTTTATGTCATTGTTTGTTTCCCTAGGAGCGGAGCCAAGGGTTCCACATTTTTTGGAGTCCCGAAGCGGTGCGGTGACAGACCATGGGGTGACCTCGGAATCCCCCAAGACCTCACCGCACGGTCCGTCAACGCACGGTTTTGGGACCTCGGATGCCCCAGTCGCCCGAGACGTCCTCGGAGAGCGCCCGAGTCCCAAAACCGTGCGGTGACCCTGAATCCCCACCGACTCACCACACGGTGTGGTCCCCACCCCGTTTGGGGGCCCCTGATTTCTGTCCATCTACGGGGGGAGCCGGAGTAGGAGGAGGAGGATTAGGAGGAGGAGGAGGAGGAGGAGGAGGAGGAGGAGGAGGAGAATTCGGAGGAGGGAGGAGGAGGAGGAGGAGGAGGAGGAGGAGGAGGAGGAGGAGGAGGAGGAGGAGGAGGAGAGGAGGAGGAGGAGGAGGAGGAGGAGGAGGAGGAGGAGGAGAGGAGGAGAGAGGAGGAGGAGGAGGAGGAGGAGAGAGGGGGAGGGAACACACGGCCCACGGGCGCCGACGCGCCAGGCGGCCTGCGGCCGCGCGCCGCAGGGGCGCCCTGCGGGCCGCCCGCAGGAGCACCGCGCGCGGCCGTGCCGGGGATTGGCGGCGCCCGAGCTCGGCACACACCCCGGGGGAGAAGGCGGCCTCCAGGCTCGCGGGCCCAGACCCTGGGCGAAGTCCCCGAGGCAGAGGCTCTCGTCGACAGAGCTGGCCTGGCAACGCGTGCGACATTGGCACTGTGCGAGCGCTGCTGGCCCCTGCGATCTCGAGGAGCGACATCCCTACAGGGTAATGTGCAGGCCGGAGGCCGTCAGATTGTCTGATGGCGTGTCAATGCTGCGGAAAAACTGTTTCAGTCGGGAAAGGCTTGGACCTGTTCCGTGATCCAGCTGCTGGCGCAGAGAGGTGCCTCCATCGCTCCACCGCCATGTCCTCAAACACTCGTTGCGCGTATCTAGCACGATCGACTGAGGGGGGCGCTTTCCTGAACCATGTGGGATCGAACATCGAAACTCATCGCAGCGGCCGTGGACTGTGGACAAGGATAGCGAGTATCCTTGACAGTCCGTGGCGGAGAGAAGAGCAGGGACAGGGTATAATGTGAACACCTTGGCGTGGCTCGATCCAGAGGGCGGGTGGAGAGAAGAGCAGGGAACGGGCACAGGAGTACATTGGAGAGACTCGCTCGGAGGGCGGGGGGCAGACTGAGAGCCGCGCCGGCTCCTCGCTGAATCCCTTGAGGCTCTCCAGCCTCTGCTCGAGCGCGGGCGGGGCGGGGAGGGGCCAGACCCGCGAACTGCCTTGTCAAGATCGCCTCCCGCCCTGTCCGACGCTGCCCCGCCTGCCAGAGACGCACCTCCTCCTTCGCCTCCTCCACCTCGGTGACTCGGTGATGCGGACGAGTTCGCGTCGAAGCGCCGATGCCCTCGAGCCCCACCCCCCCAGACCTGTGGAGGGGGGGGGGCGAACAACAACCAAGAGGCAAAGAGAGAGAAGGAACGAAGGATAGACAGCATGATGATGCACCTCGGGAGGGGGGGCGAGGTGGGGGCAGGTGGCGCCTGTGTGCGCCGGCGCTGTGCGGGTGCAGAGGAGGGCCGAGCTTGGGCCCCTGCCTCCTGGGAAGAGCTGACGCCCACCTCCACCTCCTCCACCTCCTCCTCCTCCTCCTCCTCCTCCTCCGTATCATCATCATCATCATCATCATCATCATCATCATCATCATCATCATCATCATCATCATCATCATCATCATCACCACCATCATCATCATCATCATCATCATCATCATCATCATCATCACACCACCACCATTATCATCACCACCACCATCATCATCACCACCACCACCATCATCATCATCATTATCATCATCATCATTATCATCATCATCGTCATCATCATCATCATCGTCATCATCATCATCATCCACCACGGAACCACGAGCAAGCGAACGCCTCCTCCTCGTCGTCTCCCGCGGAGCTGCGAAGACGTGCATGGCGAACCGCACGTCGTCATATCGGAGGGGGTCTGGGCGTGCGCGCGGGAAGGCACCCTCGCCGTCGGCGGCGCTCGGAGAGGCGAGGGCGGAGAGCGCGGGGGGCTTTCGGCCCCTCGGGGGTCGCACATCCAGCCCAAGTCGGCGCGCTCCTGCCAAAGCGATTACAGTCGAAAACCCTAACAAGGATGCGCGACTTTGCTCAGGGTACCCTTGCGTCCTTGCTCTTCCTTGCTCTTGCGTCCTTGAGGTTTTCGTCGTCCGCCGCACCAAAAATCCCAACTTCGGCTTCCAAGAGTCTTGCGTCCTTACCGCGCGTCCTTATTAGGGTTTTCGACTGTACTCCCGTAGGGGAGCAACCACAAGATCAATGACACGCTGGGGAGCCTATCAGCACGTCGCTGCTGAAAGAACGCCTGGACTCCGGGCAGAGACGAAGGAGCGACGTGCCGACGGGCTACCCACGGCAGCGTGTCGTTGACATCCTTCCGCCCTCCCGATCCAGATTCCTGAACACGCGTGGTCGGAAAGGCACTACAGCAGAGTATCTGGCAAGGGAATCATGGTGGCACACGCTAGGGACACCACACACACACAGGACACCATATGCAGTTGTATTTCGGCATTCATATCCCTGACCACTGGGCGAGAAATCTGCGAAGCAGCCACCTCCATGACAAACAGGGTCAGCTAGAGACGCATGCACAGCAAACGCGCGAGGGCGAAGCCCACTTGTTCACAACGGCCTCACAGAAATTAGTGCACGCAGGTATTCCATCGAGTGAACAACAAGGCGAAACAGTGGCAGGCCACGCCGCAATGCCCATACAAACGCTGAAAGCTAGTTTCTGAGCCTGGAGAAACAATACTGATCAGGCGTGGCGAATAAGAGAAAGTTTGCTGGATACCAACGCCAAGCCAGCAACAAAAAGTGTTAACGTGCCATTGATTCGGACCGACAGGCCTTCCACCGAACCAGCCTTACAAACTGGCCAAGCCACTGAACACAACTCCACGTAGACGAGTTCCGAATGGGAACCTTGCCGGCCGAGGCGGGCTTGGGCGCGACTGGGGGCCTGCCATTGACCATCTCGTCCCTGCAGAGCCAGTCTTCCAACGGAGCCTGCGTGATGCAAAGTGGCACGAGCAGCCGAAAGAGGAGGAGCAGGACGCGGAGACCAGAGAAAGGGAGAAGGCCATAAGCATTAGGTCGGGCATGTTTCCCTCTACATTGGGGATTTTGGACGGGAAATAAAACATATTCAAAACATACCCCCAAATGGTTCAAAAATATTCAGAAAATCGTCCCAAGACAATTTTCTGACTATTTTTGAATATTCCCCCTGTAGAGGGACAGGCCCGACTTAATATAAGCAACGACACGAGCTTGGACGACTGGACGCCTCTTGGATAGGATCGATGTGCAGAGATGGAGCCGCCGAGGCGCAACACTGCGACGGCAAACATCGGGGATCTTCTGACCCGGGTCAATCCAGACCAGGGTCAGCAGGAAACCAAAAACTGCAATGCAGGAAAAAAAACTGCAACGCAGGTCTTCGCAAACCCGGGTCAGCCAATACGCGCGGCCGCCTCGCGGCCACGAGCGGCTCGCTAACCTGGGTCAGCCAGAGAGGGTCTTCGCAGGATCCTGCAGGATCTGGCGCCCTGGCTGACCCCCGTCTGCACTGACCCCCGTCTCGAGGCTCCCGAAAACAGACAGTGAGCCTGGCGCCGGAAGGGACGTCCGATCCGGAACTGGCAATGCGAACTTTTGGAAAACACGCGCAGGCACAGACACACGCAGTCTCCTCCGCCAGTTCATCCTCCGCCAGCTCATCCTGCGACTCCTCCTCCTCCTCCTCCTCCTCCTCCTCCTCCTCCTCCTCCTCCGTCTCCTCCCTTTCCTCCCTCCTTCTGTTCCGGCCTACTATCTGCCATCATCCCTCTCGCTCCTCCTCCCCAACTCCATCCGCCTTCTCTGTTCCCTCCTTTTCCTCCTCCTCCTCCCCCTTCTCCTCCTCCTCCTCCTCCTCCTCCTGCTCCTCACCCTCCTCCTCCCTGCAACTTCCCCCCTCTTGCTCCAGCTCCTCCGTGCCCTCAGCCTCGCGATTAGCCACTCACGACCGCACCATCGGGCATGTCGGTGGGGCGGTCCAAGCGTTTCGCCTAAGGCTTCTTCAAATGCGATCGCCCTACCATTTGTGATCCCCACCAGTTGCACGCAGTGAGGGCGGGTTGTTTCCCAAATCTCTGGCTCCAATAATAGCGCAGCGCGCGTTCATCTTAACAGGCCAACAGCTACACGGATACAGGGCAGCTCCTTTTCAGAATCTCGTCCTGGCTGGATCGGCATTGTGGCCCGAGGGCTACTAGGAATGACTGGAGGGCAGCTCCTTTTCGGAATCTGGTTTTTGCCCAAGCTTCCATGAGAATTCACTCCCGCAGCACACGAATCAACACAGCAGCTGCACAGAAAGAGAGCAGTTACTCTTCAGACTCGTGCTCTCGCATTGGCGCCGCGCACGTGTTCCCGCGACGCCCCTGCCAGCCGCATGGGCGGAGGGCGATTCACCCTCGAGCTCGCAACGCCCTGGTGTCCCTGTCCGCCGCGCCCTGATCCTGTCCCCAACCTCCTACTTCCCCTCTTCTATCCCCCTCCTCCTCATCCTCCGCCAAATCCTCCTCCATCTTCTCCCCCCGCTCCCCCTTCCAGTCCGATCATTCGTTTGTACGGTTACAACGAGGATGTTGTTTTCTGCTCTTTCTTTCACCAAACATCTTCCTCACCGGCAGCACCATCATCATCGCCATCAGCATCACCATCATCAACACCAGCATCACCATGGCCATCAACATGCTAATCCTCATCCTTACCCCCATCCTCATCATCACCATAATAATCATCATCATCATCATCATCATCATCATCATCATCATCATCATCATCATCATCATCATCAACAACAACATCATCATCATCGTCGGCATCCCCATCACCATTACCGATGGCAGCCTTGCAGCATCATTCCTTTTTGCGACGGCCTTGCAAGCTGCCGCTTACCTAAGGCAGGCTTGTAACATACCGTCCTCTGATACACGCCTTTACACAAGCGGTTCCTTGTATGGAGATCTTGCAGAAAGGATTTGAACAATGAGGGGTTGGCAGCGGTCTCCAAACTTGAAATCCTTTTGCGGCAGCCTGTGTGAAAGGGATTGCTTGCGTGGCGGCATTACGAAAGATTTCAAGTGTGGGGGATCTGCAGTGGCGGCGCCCTGAGCCCAGGCGAGCCAAATAAGAGAACATGAAAACAAATAAAGTACGTGTGGTTTCACATGGAAAATTGCTGGCCCTTCGGCGTGTGTGAGACGTTTTTTCGTGTTCGTCGTCGTCGTTACTACCAACAAAATTGGTAGACAAGGAAAGGAAAACCGCAGTTGAACCGACAAAAAAGGATACCCCTTACTCGGGGATCTCTTGACCCGGGTCAATCCGGACCCGGGTCAGCCAGGCCTTGCGGAATCCTGCAAGATCCTGCACCCAAGCCCGGGTCAACGCGAAGGATCCTGCAGGATCCTGCAGAATCCTGCGCCCAAGCCCGGGTCAATGCGACCCTGGCCCTGCAAGATCCTGCTAGATCGGGCGCCCTGGCTGACCCCCGTTTGCATTGGCACCCGTCTCTTGAGCCCCGATCCCTCCCGTGGGTGGGGAGGATGGGGGGGGAGGGTCCCCGGTCAGAACGCCGCCCCCTCGGGGTCCCTGCGGGCCCCCGGGTATGTCGCCGGCGGGGCTCTCGGGGGAGGTCCCGCTATCAGGGTTCGGCGGCACTGAGACCTTCGCAAATAGGAGAAAGCTCGGCCGCCGATGATTGTGATTATTTGTCCAGATCCCCCACAGTTGCTATCCTTTTGAAGCAGCCCTTGCGGGGATCTTGCAACATAATCTTGCGCGTGGGGTATCCGCAGGAGCCTCCACATGTAAAGTCCTGTTTGTAGGAGCCTGCACAGAGGAATTGCCTTTGCGGCGGTCTTGCAAAACAATTTCAATGGTGGAGGCCACTGCAACGGCGGCGCTGTGAGCCCAGGAAACCGAGACATGCGACAACACATTGCCATGTGACGCGCCCGACCCTTTTTCTAAACTCTAAACATGTGGCAACTATTTGTGTATATACAGGACAGCACGCTGCAAACAAACATGTTGAGAGACCCGCAGTGCGCATGAGCTCCGAGAAGTACGCAAGAAAGCTGGCGTAGAGAAGCAAGAAAGAGACGGACACAGAAGCATACAAAGGGGTGGGAAGGAGGGGCAAACATGTTCAGTAACAGCAACAGCGCCGAGCGCTACATACGCGGGAAAGAACAGCGCCACGCGCTCGCTCTTATCAGAGCAGCTCGTCGCGCTGAGCGAGGCAAGCGCGCGGGGTGGCATGGCGGGCCAGTGGCAGCTTAGGATGGGCGGCCATGCGGACAGAAAACAGCGCCATGCGCTGTGTGGCGCAGCGGCTCCCTGCGAGCTGAGATGCGACAGCGCCGACCGCTGCGTGACGGGACAGCGCCGCGCGCTATGTGAACCCCTGCCATTTTGGACGCGATCACTTATCACCAGTTGCGTTTCTCGTAGCCGCTGCGCCGGAACTGCTCCAGGCCGAGCTCGCGCGCCAGCCTCTCTGCCGCCTTCCTGCAACGCTCAGTTCCTGCAACGTTCAGTTAGAGATCCCAGGAACCCACGAGCATAGCGACAGTTGCGCACTCCGCAGCCTCCCAGGGAGCCGCGAGGTCCCAACTGGATCCCCGTATAGCTCCACTCCGCGCGACCGAAGTGGCGACAGTCTCAACACTTCGCAGCCCTCCGGGGACGCGAGATCTTGATTGGGTCCGCGCACACTCCGCGGGGCCTCCCACGAGCCCGCGAGAGCAGGAGAGAGGAGATAGAAGGCAGGAGAGAGGAGGAAAAGGGAGACGGAGGAGGAGAAGACTCGACCACAGTGCTACAGTCAAAACGATAACCTAACACAGGAGGGTTGGGACAAACATGTGTTTCCACATGGAAATTAAAACCATAAAAACAAACAAAGCTAGGAAGCCGCTGATTGTCGCTACGTATTCCAAGTGTTTACGTTACCCACACTTGGAATCCTTACGTAACAGCCTTTGCAAACATACTCTTTTTGCGGCGATGTTACCAGAGAAATTGTTTGATGTGTGGGGGATCTGCAGTGGCCTCCGCGACTACAGTCCTTTTGTAGCAGCATGTGCAGAGGGATTCTTGTGGTGGCGGCCTTCCGCTAAGATTTCTATTGCGGGAACTCCTCGGTGCGTCCTGCAACCCTGCATGGCCGCATGGGACATCCTTTGGGGGCGCGCGAAAATTGATTAGCGATCCATGGATTCAGCGCGCGGTCGCCAAATCCGTGGATCGGCGGGGGTGCCCTCCCCCAAACTGCGGCCGGTGCCGCCTCGTTCGGCGGCGGAAATCCGCGACTTCCATGGAAACGGGACCCGTCACTAATCCACGCCCCCTTGATCCATGTTTTCGATCGCCTGAATCCTGGAGACCTTTCTGGGGTACTGCTCAAGCCCTCCCAGGGCCCGGCCAGTGACGACAGCGATACAGGCCTCGAAACAAAAATAGCGAACACTCATGCCACATTCATCTGTGAACGCCTCCCCCTCCCCCCAATGTTCAACGTTGGCGGTGGGTCTGATGAGTTGCACCTCGACCGCAGTCCCCCCCCCCGCGTGCCAACTTTGAGTTTGGGGGGCAGGGGGGGTGTTCACTAATTGTTTCCCTCTACCGTATCTCCAGGCCTTTGTGCCTCCCACCCGAAGCTGGGGGGCCCGGTCCCGAGCGCTCCGGGGGCCCCCTGCCCTGCCGAGGCGCGCGCCCCGAGACGAGCCCGCCCCGCGTCCGGCCGCCCCCCCCGGGGCCCGAGGCCGACGCGCCGGCGGGCCAGCCTGCTGCGGCTGTTCCCTCCGCCGAGGACCGCCCCCCCCTGCCTTCGCGCGAGAGCTCGAGGAGTGCCTTCCCTGACCTTCCAGAGAGCTATTTTTTTAGCACGGGTTGTTTCCCTCTACCGTACGGGCGCACCCCGGATGGGGGAGGCAGCGAGCCAGCTGAGCGCGACGGCGGCGGCGGGCCTGGCACAGATGCCCAGGGGAGCGCACCTGCTCGGCGCCTCGTGCCTCGCCCCCTCCTCCCCCCCTCCCCTCCTCCCCCCCCTCCTCCTCCTCCTCCTCCTCCTCCTCCTCCTCCTCCTCCTCCTCCTCCTCCTCCTCCTCCTCCTCCTCCTCCTCCTCCTCCTCCTCCTCCTCTTGGGACCTAGCACTAGGGGGAACCGGAGGATGCGGGTGACATGGGTAGGATCGCGCAGGCCGTCAGGACGGCTCCAGGGACACGAAGTATAGATACGAGAGGGACCCCAGGATAACCCGAAGGAAGCTGCAGAGCCCGAAAGGAAACTCAGCAAAGCCATTCGAAGAACATCAGAAAGGAGATGAGGCATTGTAGTTCCACGACCATGTGAAAGAGGTGTGAGGCAGCAGGGTGCGAACGATAGGAAAACAGGAGGCCACGGGAAAGGAAGGCGAGAAGGCGCTCCGGATATCTCGGCAGGGCCGACGAGGATGAGGACGAGAATGAGGAGCAAAGATAAAAGGGGGAGAAAAATGGGCGAGAAGGAAAATGAAAAGTGGTTCGGACCGCCAGCACCAACAGCACCAGCAACACCAGCACCAGCAGTGGCAGCAGCGGAACTCCTCGTCCGCCCAGACTCTCTCGGTTCACCCTTGGGGTGTCTGCGTTCTCTGACTTTGCGCGTCCCCGCCTCCCCACGCAGCTTCGCTGCGTGGGTGTGCCCTCGCGCTCCGTCCTCGTCTCTGCGGCCGCCTCTCTTCCTCCCTCCCCCTTGCATGCGGGCTGATTCGCGGCGCCGCGCCCCGGCTTCGCCCCGACTCGCGTGCGGATCGTGTCTGCCTCGCTGCGACATTCACAAAACAACTCTGCCTCCCCCCTTCCGTCAGCTCTCATGGGCCTCGTTTCTGGACGGGCTGGTGAGATACACGTCGGTCGGAAGAAAATAAGTAAACACATGAAATGGGAAGGCGGGTAAAGTAGGTCGGCTTCAGGCCCTCCTCGAACATAACAGAACACAGCAAGAGCATATCGATTCTTCAAGTAGGAGGGCGCTTGGAGTAACTTGGGTTCTGGAAGCCCAGAAAAACCTGCTCTCAACGACCGGCGTGTGTGCCCGGAGCGTCAAAACGGAGGGCGAGGGAGGAGGAGGAGAATAAGTCCGCGCGACGGCACAAACCCAGCCTGAGTCAGCCCTACATGATCAAATGGGACGCACAAAGACATACTGGTACTGTATGTTCTCATTGGAGGCGCGCGCGCGTCCGACCCATGCAAATAGCACGGTGGGGGCATTGGGTAAGGAACCCTTAGGAAGGGAGTCCAGGGATTGGAGACCGGTGGGACTCCAATCGAGGCTTGGCCATGGACATTTACCGCCGCCCTCATCAAATAAGGAATCCTCCAGGGTATGAAGATCCCCCGGCCGCATTCCTTAACGAACGCCCCCGCCGTAGATGTTCTCATTGTAGGCGCGCGCGTCCGACCCAAGCAAATGATATACCCATCTTGTAGCATATCGTTTCCCGAGCAGTGCGGAAAGAAAGCGCCCGCCAAGACGAATCTACTGTCAGATTTCTCGGTGCGGGCGTCGCCCCTGGGGGGGCGACGCACACACACACAGTATTGGTATGTTGGGGTGCCGCCGATCACATGTGCATGGACAGGGCAGCCGCGTGGACGCACGGCGGCGGCCTCAGAAGGCCTGCCCCCCACCGTCATCGCCCCCTCGCTGCCCTTCGCCAGCGGCACCTGCACTCCGGGCCATGTCGTCGTCGTCGTCGCCGTCGTCGTCGTCGTCGTCGTCGTCGTCGTCGTCGTCGTCGTCGGCGTCGCGCCGCCTGCCCTTCGCAGGTTAGAGCTTCGATTCTGGAGCCTTGATCCTCATGAAGATCTGGTGGCACATGTAGTGTAGAGGAACGAAAAGCGGCGTCACCATACTTTCTCGGAGGTCCGCGCGGATTTCTTGGATCGGCACTGGGTCCCCCCTCCCTGGCGCGCGGTGCGCGCCAGGGGCGGCGCTGGAGGCGCCGCCAGGGGGGCCCAACGCAAATCCAAGAAACCCGCGAGGACCTCCAAGACAATATGTTTATGCCGCTTTTGCGGGCCCGGCTTCCTTCTCCCTCCCGTCACCGCCGGGCGTTCCTCCTCTCTCCCCCGCGCATTGCGGCTGAATTCGCATTCGTATGCCCTACTAATGCTCCTCCGCCAGCACAGTCACTCTGCCTAACCACCGACGCAGAAAAAGCATGTTTATGCCGTTTTCGTTCTTCGATAGCGGGGACACCCCCTTCCAAGGCCAGACCGAGTGACACGGGTGCTGGACACTGGGGTCTTTCCCTCGGACCAGCTCTGCATCCCGAGTCGTCTTTGCCAGTCTCGGGGCCCGGGGAGGGCCCCGAGAGCCTTACAATCGGGGGCGGCCATGAGGGGGGCGTCCAAGAGGGGGGGCGGCGGCGCAAATCATGGCCGGCGGCATGTGCGCAGACCAGGTGGGGCCAGGGAACGCATTGAAATAAGAAGAGGCGCCATGGAATCTGGGAAGATACCATGGCCCCGCCATGATATCCACCCCCCGTAATCATCACCCCACTCTTTGCCGCCCCCGAGGAAACGGCGAAGCGCCGCAGGACCGGTTTGCCTGAGGGCCCGTTTGCTCCATGGTAGTTCTGCATTTCCACGACGTGTGATGCCGGTGTCGGCGTCGCCGTCGTCGTCGCCGTCGCCGTCGTCGCTTGCGCATTCGCGCAAAGTCCGAGATTCGCGAATCGAGGTCTTTGGGAGTTCTTGGAGAACTTTTCTGGGCCTCCAGGCCTCCAGTCGTGGTCGTGGTCGTGCTGAACCGAGAGGGAGACGAGGAGGAAGGGGTGGAAGTGGGACCCATTTCAATACCGATACCTCCGAAGAGGAGGAAGTGGGAGAGTGGGACTCATATATACCCTCCGACGTCGTGGCTTTGCGCTGTAAGCGCTGCCACTGAATTTCTGACTCTGGGGAGTGGATTTGCTTTCGGGACCAGGGGCAATCGGAAACGATCCGCGGCGAAGGGCCGATCCTGGGGAGAGGGCCTGAAATTCAACAGGTCCACGCCATAAGTCGTCACGGCGCTGCAGGTCTGGACTTTTCCCAACCGTCCTGTGGTGTTGGATCCTCACTTTCAAGAGACAGCGCCCCGCGCCACTCCTTCTTGCCTTCCGTCCTTCCTTCTTTCCTTCCATCTCCCCCTCCTCCTCCCTCCTCCCATCCCTGCCTCTGCTCTCCGCATCGTCTACCGTTTCGGTACCCCTTACACGCTTCGTGGCCCCATAGGGAGCTTCACCCAAACCCCCAGTGGCGCAGCCCGCGTGTGGGCGACACCCCCTTTTTTGGCACACCTCTCACACGTTCCGTGGCCCCGTGGGGAGCTCCATCGAAGGCCCCCGTTATGCAGCCCGCATGTGGGCGACACCCCTGGTAGCTGGTAAAGGTATACCCCTTCACACGTTTCGTGGGCCCGTAGGGAGCTCCACCAAAGGTCCTGGTGCTGCAATTCGCATGTGGGCGACATCCCCTTGTCGGCACACCCCTCACACGTTTCGTGGCCCTGTGGGGAGCTCCACGGTGCTACAATTCGTGTGGTGAACGCTTTATTATCCAGTGTTTCGACATTGGGCGGAATGGTGGGGCGGCAGGGAGGGGTCTGGCTCCGGACCTCTGCTTAGCACGACTGTTTGCAACAGTGCGTCCTGGGGGGGAGAGAACTCCACATGCTTGAAGCAGGCGTCCAAAACAGCCAAGAGCTACTCCATAGGGGGGAAAGGAGGGGCGAGGGCCCGCGCCGATCGGCAAAACAATTAATAAGAAAACAATCAGGTGGGCGTAACGCCTGTTTCGGCACAGCCCTCACAGGGTTCGTGGCCCCACAGGGAGCTCCGCCGAAGGTCCCGATGCTGCAGTTCGCATGTGGGCGTCACACCCGTTTCGGCTCACCGCTCACACGTCTCGTGGCCTCGTAGGGAGCTCCGCCGAAGGTCCCAGCGGCGCAGTTCGCATGTGGGCGTCACGCTCGTTTCGGTATACAACCCACACGTTTCATGGCCCTATAGGGAGCTCCACCGAAGGTCCCAGTGGCGCAGTTCGCATGTGTGGGCGTGACGCCCGTTTCGGCACCCCTCACAAGTTTTGTGATCCCGTAGCGTGCTCCACCGAAGGTCCCAGTGGCGCAGTTCGCATGTCGGAGTCACTCCTGTTTCGGCACACCCCTCACTCTTTTCGTGGCCTCATAGGCAGCTCCACCGAAGGTCCTAGAAGCGCAATTTGCATATGGGCGTCACACCCGTTTCGGTACACACCTCACGGGTGTCGTGGCCCCAAAGGGAGCTCCACCGAAGGTCCCAGTGGCGCAGTTCGCATGTGGGCGTCATGTCCGTTTCGGCACAACCCTCCCGCTTTTCGTGGCCCCACAGGGAGCTCCACCAAAGGTCCCAGCGGCGCAGTTCGCATGTGGGCGTCACACCTGTTTCGGCACGCCCCTCACCCGCTTCGTGGTCCCAAAGGGAGCTCCACCGAAGGTCCCAGTGGCGCAGTTCGCATGTGGCGTCACGCCCGATTCGGCACATCCCTCACATGTTTCGTGGGACCAAAGGGAGCTCCACCGAAGGTCCCAGTGGCGCAGTCCGCATGTGAGCGTCGCGTCCGTTTCGGCACACCCCTCGCATGTTTCCTTGCCCCGTAGGGAGCTCCAGCGAAGGTCCCAGTGGTGCAGTTCGCATGTGGGCGTCATGCCCGTTTCGGCACACCCCTCACAGGTTTCGTGGCCCCACAGGGAGCTCCACCCAAGGTCCTAATGCTGCAATTCGCATATGGGCGTCGTGCCCAGTTCGGCACACCCCTCCCACGTTTCGTGGCCCCACAGGGAGCCCAACCCAAGGTCCCAGTGGCGCAGTTCGCATGTGGGCGTCGCGTCCGTTTCGGCACACTCCTCACATGTTTCGTGGCCCCACAGGGAGCTCCAACGAAGGTCCCAATGGCGCAATTCGAATGTGGGCGTCGCGCCCGTTTCGGCACACCTCTCACATGTTCCGTGGCCCCACAGGGAGCTCCACCGAAGGTCCCAGTGGGAGGGCGCAAATGCGCCCCCCCCTCGCCAAATCGACACGCCCCTGGCACGTTGTGTGGCCCCATAAGGAGCACCACCGAAGACGATCCTTACAACTGCGGCACTCACACTTGCAAATGGGTCCTTCGCCAGGCTATTCGGGAGTGGGTCAGGGTCAAGCGCTGATGGCCTTGCACCCATCGGAACGACGAGCCCGGACCCGCCGTGGAGTGGGGACCGAACGAGTGCCGGACACGCGAACGAAGCGAAGGCCAGGACGAGACACCGGTGCGGAGGGATCAGGACGGGGGGAGGGCCGAAGCCCGAAATCGTGGGCACACGGCTTGCAAGCAAGCCAGAAGGCAGTGCAAACTGCCGAGTCGGGCAAAACGCTTGGTACTGGATCCAGCGCGCAGCTTCACACACCAGGCACAACCACCAGATGTTGTTGTAAGCCCTGAGAGCGCCCTCTGATCAGCCTCGTCCTCATCTCTCCTCCTCATCCTCTTCCCCCTCCATTCCTTCTCCTTCTAGAGAACTCCTCCCTGTCGCACCCCGAGGCCAGCTTTTAGGGCGGGCTGGGCGTTTCGCCTGAGACTTCCTCACCATGAAGCTTAAGAAGTGGCAGCAACTTCACAGATGGAGGGTGGGTCGTTTTCAAAATGTGGCTCTCGCCTTAGCGCCGCGCACACTCGTTTTAAACATTTGCAAGAGCTTCACGGAATGAGGGCGGTTCCTTTTCAAAATGTGGTTCTCGCCTTAGCGCCGCGCACATTCGTTTCCAAAACTTGCAAAAGCTGTGCGGATTGAGGGCGGGTCGTTTTCAAAATGTGGCTCTCGCCTTAGCACCGCGCATATTCGCTTTGAAACTTTGCAAGGGCTTTGCGGATTGCGGGCGGGTCGCTTTCAAAATGTGGCTCTCGCCCCAGCGCCGCGCGCCTTCGTTTTAAAACTTAGCAAGAACTCCACGGGTTGAGGGCGGTTCTTTTTGCAAAATGTGGTTCTCGCCTTAGCGCCGCGCGCATTCGCTTTTTAAGCTTTGCAAGAATTTCGCGGGTTCCTATGGTCAGCGTACCAAAAATTGTATTTGGGAAGGATTCAGGATTACGCGGGCGCAACAATTATGTTGGTTCGCTGTGTTGAAGTCCCAAAAATGGCGTTCTGGTACGGTTCTGGATCGTCATGAAGCAGCAGTCAGGTTGATACGTGGCGTTGACATCCCGCGAACCATGTTTTGGCACGCTTCAGGATCTTCAAACCGTTGTCTTCCAACGAGGCAGTTCCCTCAATGGAAATGAACCGTTGTAGGGGCCTATGAAGAGTTAGCTTGGAGGGAGGGTTCGTTCCAGCATCGTTGATGACTCTTGGGTTTCCACTGGTCCTCCTCCTCCTCCTCCTCCTCCTCCTCCTCTACTGGTCCTCCTCCTCCTCCTCCTCCTCATCCTCCTCCTCCTTGCCACCCAACCCGCATCGAACTAATCAGGAGCCTCCGCGCAGGAGGCCGCTCCCGTGCCCGCGGGGGCCGTGGCACGAGGAGCCCAGGCCGCTCGGCCGCGGACGTGGATGCGCATCCCGCCCACGAGGGGAGGTCGAGAAGGAGGTCGAGAAGGAGGAGAAGGTCGAGAAGGAGGTCGAGGAGGAGGAGGAGGAGGAGGAGGAGGAGGAGGAGGAGGAGGAGGAGGAGGAGGAGGGGAGGAGGAGGAGGAGGAGGAGGAGGAGGAGGAGGAGGGAGGAGGAGGAGGAGGAGGAGGAGGAGGAGGAGGAGGTCGACAAGGAGGAAGGGGGGGAACGGGGATCAGAGATGCCAGCACGGCGCGGGCACCTCCCGAGGGCAACAGTGCCACCGCACGACCTGAGCAGGACCGACGGATGGCTAGCAGTGGGGCTGGCGGCGCGGGCTCCTCCTGAGGGTACAGAGCCGACCCGCGCCCTGAACACGGAGGCTATATGGCAGGCGGCCAGGGATCTGCGACTAGCGCTTGGGATGGATGTGGATCGACGAGTGTCCTACGCATTCTCGCAAACTGGGGCAGGTCGATTCTGTAGTCGACCTCCTGCTCGAAACGTTGGTGGACCGCGGATGTGGCGCCGGACTGCCAAGGCCGCCCTGCCGTTCTGGTGGACGATGCGAGTCTGGTGCGAACCTGAAGGGAGAAACGGCGCGAACCCTGTCAGGCGGTTTGCCGCGGACTGCGTCGGGAAGAAAGAGATGAAACGGCACGGAAGGAATTGCACCGTCATGAAGACCAGGCTCATCACGAACAAGCTCCACATGGTCGGCACCATGAACAAACTCACGAACAAAATCCTGCAAGGCCCTTTGATCATGAACAGGGTGGGGCCAGGCACGGGCAACCAAACGCGGAGTCCACCAGGATGCACCGCGAGCGACATGACGTCCAGGAAGGCAAGCTCCAGGACGACGAGTTTCAGGAGGCTCTCATGGTGTGCTTTTGACCTCAAGATCCGTAGCCATTTTGGCTCAAGTTCCCAACCCCCATGAGGGTGGTTGGGAGCTTGCCGCGGACGTGGGCTCGAGGGCCCACCAACGGTTTTGGCGCTGAGCCGCGCGCGCCGCGGCGCCGCGCATGCAGTACGTGCCTGCCGGGATCTAGTTGCGTCTCCCCAGCCTCCCGCCGGGCTTGGCTTGGCATCTGGCGGTCGGCCAGGCGCCGCCCGCCACTCCAGCGCCAGGCGTTCGGCACGGCCCTGGCGATGCCGCCGAAGGGGAGGGGAGGCCGTAGGTGCGGCTGCAGTGGGCGGCGACGGCGCACCCGGGCAAGACGGCGGCACCGCGGGGCCGTCCTCCCCGCGAGGTCTGGCTGGCGCAGGGGCAGTAGCGGCGGCGCCGGCGGAGCCCGCGCGCGAGTGGCGGGCTCCAGGGCGGGCTCCGGCAACCCCGCCGAAGCAAGCGCTGCAGTCGCCAAGGGGACGACGGCTCCTCAGAGAGCTCCGGGCTGGCTGGCCCACCGCGGCGTGAGCCCAAGCGCCGCTTCCGGTCGGCCCCGCAGCCAGGCTGGACGGGGCTCGGGGGCGGCACGGGAGCCTGGGCGGCGCTCCGTTAGCCCGCCGACGAGGCGGTGGAGCAGCCGCGGCCGCTCGGTGTCGGAGAGAGCGCCGCGGGGGCGGCACCTGAGGCGCGCGCGGCCGCGCAGCCGCAGCCGCAGCCGCGGCCGCCAGCCCCGCGGGCGCGACCGGCGCCGCTCCCCGCGCGGCCGGGCGGGCCAGCTCTTGGCCTGCCGCGCACCGCGCCTCCCCGCGGACGGGCGCGCCGGCCCGCTCCGCCGGAGAGGCCGCCGGCGGCAGGGCCAGCAGCGGGGCCAGCAGCGGAGCCAGCGGCGGGGCCGCCGCGCTTCGAGGAGGAGGACGAGGAGGACAGCTATATACTCCTGCGAGGCGGGCGAGGAGGGCGACCCAGCGGACGCGCCGGCAGCCGCGGCACCGGCTGCCCCTCCAGCGACGCTGTGCACAGCAGCGCCTCGGGCGACCGAGCGGTGGCGGCGACGCCCGCTGCTGCGGACCCGCCAGCACCGGCACCGGAGGTGCGGGGCGACGGACGCGGCCGGCCCTGCCCGGCCCGCGGGCGACGGCGCTGGGCCCGCACGGCCCTGCGGCGCCGCCAGCGGCCTGCCCAGCGGGTCCAGCGGCGACGGAGCAGGGCGGGACGCCGGGCGCGACCCTGGCGCTGCAGCGGGCGGGGCTCCAGGGGCCTGCGGGCTTCGTGGTGACGAGCCTCATGCACGGAGGGCCAGCTCCTCATCCGCTGGCGCGGGCCAGCGGAATCCGAGGCCCGGGGCCTGTGGGCCTCCGCCGCGGCAACGCCGCCGCGGCCATGCACTGCTGACCGGCCGGACCCCCGGCGACGGTGGACCTCGATGCGGGCGACCCGGCGGACGGGGCTGCGCGCGCACTCCCGGCCGCGCCTGGGCCGACGCCGTCGATGGCGGCCTCGCGGTTGACGCGCCGCCGCGCGCGGGCGGCGCCGCGGTCGCAGGCCGCGCGACCGAGCCAGGCTGGGACGCCAGCAGCGACGGGGAGACCGCCGCTGGCGCGGGCGTGGCCGCTGCGGCGGCCAACGGCGGCCGGCTGCGCGGCGGCGGGCGGGCCTGCACGGGCGGCGCAGCGGCCCGCGGGGCCAGCTGGCGCTGGCGGCGGCCCGGCTGCGGGAGGCGAGGCGGCCCGCGGGGCCACCGCGGCGGGGGCGCCCCGGCTGGACGCCACCGCAGCGCGCCTCTGGGCAGAGACTGGCCTGGCCGCCTCGCGCGCAAGGGCCAGGCTGCCGCACTGCGAGCGCGCGCGGACGCGTGTCGCAGCAGGGGCCCAGGAGCAGCGCAGGGGGCTGCGCTCCAACTCGAATCGGCGGCGGAGGACCCGGCCGCCCTCGGGCCGACGGCGCTGCTCGTCGCCTTCGTCGAGGCGGCACGCGCTTCCTAGCTGGAGGCAGCTGCGCGGCGTCGGTTTCTCCGGCCGCACGGGGAGCGCGCGCGTCCCGCAAAGCTGGGGCGCGCTGTGAGCCCGGCCTTGGCCGCGCCTGGACAGCTTACTGCTGCTGCTGCTGCTGCTGCTGCTGCTGCTGCTGCTGGTGCTTCCTCCTTTCCTCTTCTCCCTCCCCCTTCTGCTCTCCTCCTTGCCCTAAGCCGCAGGGCGACCACTCGCGCAGGTAAAAAGTGCGTCTGACCTCAGGACGGGCGGACGAGCGCCTCCAACACGATGAAGACCAAGACGAGCTGCTCTGCTAGGACGATGCCGGTCGGCCCAATGACGATCATCACCATTTTCAACACGCACACGCGGGCACCCACCTGCAAGTGTTCTTACCGTCAGCTGCAGCATGCCCAGCTAAGAGATAGGAGGCAACACGGCGTGGCAGCCAACCCGAAGACGCATAATACATCACATCCCGAAGCCACCGAACACAACCTGCGAGTCCAGACCAATAGCGCCGCATAGCGGCCGCAGACAAACATGCACCATCCAACACTTCAAATCCCCATGATCCCCAAACTGCAACATACCACACATAGGCGAGAACGAAACCAAACAAATGCAGCTCCAAATTAGGACATGGTAAACACGTAGCAAGACAAGCACCCAACTCGAGGGGAACAAAAACAACTGCAAAAAAACAGACTGGAGCCGACACTGCGACCACATGCCGACGTGCAGCGAGACCCGCAACGGGTAGGAAAGCGCAATGCGAGAGCGGTTTCCAGAGGCCAGCGCGGTGGGACTTCCAGCTCCCCAGGTAATGGCAGCCCCATGCGAGCGCAGTGGAACTCCAGTAAGCGACCAAGAGAAACAGCACGAGGTCAGGTGAAGCCGTTCCCAGCGTTCACCAGCAGTAAAAATGCGATTGTGGCACAGCCAAAAAATATCTGAGGTTAACAACTGGTTTGAACCGAAACGGGCTTAAACCAAAACGGCTATTCGATGACAAACGCCACGGAGAGGGAGAGGGAGGAGAACAAGGTGGTGGAGGACAAAGAGAAAGAGGAGGTTGACGCTGGAGGAGGAGGGGAGGAGGATCTGTAAGGGAGAACGAGGCAGAAGAAGGAACCAAAAGGAGGCGTGAGTCCTGCACCCTCCTTCCCCCGATGGAAGCCGAGAGAAGGGGACTGGCGCACGAGGAACAGCACGAGCCTGGCAATCGACGATGAATCTGTGACGGACCGGCGATGGACCCCGACAGCGACACCGAACGGGCAACCGTGGGCAGGGTAGAATATCCGAGCCCCGATCGGCTTGGATTGCGCAGTCGGGCGCACGCTAAGATGGATAACGGATCCGCGGATCCGGCGCGCGGGCGTCCGATACACGGATCGGGGAGGGTGCGACTGGCAACCTGAGAACGGTGCCGCCCGGGTCGGCCCCTGAGCCCGCCGACTCCGCACGGAAGCGGGACCCGTCCCTGATCCACGCGCCTGGAGCCATGCCTGCGCTCCCTCGAGGTGGGCTACTCGGCGCCGACGGCCGACGCCCGACGCCCCCCGCCCAGCACGCACCCCGCCCGCGGCCGCCTCTGCGCCGAGCTCCAGCCGAGAGTTGAAGTCCCCCAGGACGGCGGTGAAGTGGCAGCCGCCTCTGCGCCGCGGGCGCGCGCGCGAGGGCGCCCGGGCGCGCGGCCTCCGATCCAGCGCGCTGCCCGCTGGGAAGCCGTGCCGCCGACGAGGCGCCGAGGGGGAGGAGCAGAGGAGAGCGCCACGGCCGTGCGACTGGCGATAGGAAAAGGAGGATGTGGAGGAGGAGGAGGAGGAGGAGGAGGAGGAGGAGGAGGAGGTACGTGGAAAGAGGAGGAGGAGGAGGAGGAGGAGGAGAGGAGGAGGAGGAGGAGGAGGAGGAGGAGGAGGCGGAGGAGAGGAGGAGGAGGAGGAGGAGGAAGAGGAGGAGGAGGAGGAGGAGGAGGAGGAGGAGGAGGAGGAGGAGGAGGGAGGAGGAGGCGGAGGAGGAGGAGGGAGGAGGAGGAGGAGGAGGTACAAAAGGTATAGGCGCTGCGGGGAGGAGTCTCCGATCCTGGCCAAGGCAAGGGAAACAGCACTGCTGGATCCCTGCGGCGAAATGGATGCAGGGCCGCTGGGTCTGCCCCGCGGCCTGCCTGGGGCGCCCCTCTGGCCGCGGTGCGTGGGAGGGGGGGCCCGCGCCGGGGACTGAAAGCGCCCCAAGAGAATGGCGGCGCGGAGGCACCCGGGGGTTGGGGGCTTCCCTTCGGGGGGCGGCCAAAAGGGGGCGTCCAAGAGGGGGGGGCGCCAATCATGGCCGGCGGCACTTGCGCGGCCCAGGCGGGGAGGGGGGGCAGGGATGCAATGAAACAACAAGAAGAGGCGCCGTGAAATCTGAGGAAACATCATGGCCCACGCCATGATTTCCCCCCACGCCACGACCCTGACCTTCCAGAGAGCGATTTTTTAGCACTGGAGACCTAAAAACCTGAAAAGCTGAGCGAAACAGCCTAAAACCAAGACGCAGAATAGCTTTGGGATAGATCTTTAAGTCGGGTGCTATTTTTTAGCCCTCCTGGAAGGTCAGGACCCCCCCCTCGGCCGCCCCCGATCCCTGGGCCCCGAGCCCCCTGCCACAGGAAAGCAGGCACGCCGAGGCGGGGCGGCAGCGGCACCCGGGGCGGGGGCGGCAGGGGTTCGGCCCCGCCGCGCTGCACGCCCCGCGCGCGAGCACGCGCGCAGGGGGCGGTGGCGCTCTTCGCTCCTCGACGCGCTGCCCCCTCCCTCCTCCTCCTCCTCCCTCCTCATCCTCCTCCCCTCTCCCCTCCCCTCCTCCCTCCTCCTCCTCCTCCCTCCTCCTCCTCCATCCTCCCTCCTCCTCTCCTTCCCCTATCCATCTCTTCCCTCCTCCTCCTCCTCTTCCTCCTCCACCTCCTCCTCCCCTCCTCCTCTCTCCTCTTTCCTGCTCCTCCTCCCTCCTTCCTCTCCTCCTCCTCCTCCTCCTCCTCATCCTCCTCCTCCTCCTCCTCCTCCTCCTCCTATCCTAACCTGTCCTAATCGATCCTGATGGCATGAGGTCCTCACAGGTGCTGCCATTGGCCCCCTCCTGCAGGCGTCGTCTGGTGCCGCAGGAGGGGTCCATGCCGAACATGGGCCAATCACCCTTGAAAGGGCCGGCGATGTATGAGGGGGAAGAAGCGGACGGGGACCCGAAGGAAGCGGTCGAAGGGGAACACGCACGGCGGTCCGAACGGAGGAGGGGAGGAAACGAAGAGAGAGACCCGCGGGGGGACGGCGGGCCGCTCACACGCCGCTCCACCCCATCATCATCATCATCATCATCATCATCATCATCATCATCATCATCATCATCATCATCATCATCATCATCATCATCAGCAGCATAATCATCATCATCATCATCAGCAGCAGCATCATCATCATCACCATCATCATCACCACCATCATCATCATCAGCAGCATCATCATCAGCATCAGCATCATCATCCTCATCCTCATCCTCATCATCCTCATCCTCATCCTCATCCTCATCCTCATCCTCATGCACCCCCCACCACGTAACGCCCCATACACTCCCCTTCCCCTCAGAGGTAGATGTCGTCCTAGTCGGGTTCGTGAGAAGGGGCACTTGAGATCGGAGCGGATGAGGTCGGAGGACGGTGGCTGATGCGCATGACCGTCGGTGAATGTGGGGGTGGGAGAGGTGGGGATACCGTCATGGGTCCTCATTCACGAGGTGGCAGGAGGCGAGGCCTGCGGTCGGTGTCGGGCGCGTGGGCACCTCGTGCGTTGTTGCACAGGGGCGAGGATGGTCATCGCCAACAGTTGGGAGCGCAGTTTGATGACGTAGTCGTCGAGCTTGTCGAGGAAGTCGTGGGCGAGGTTGTTGGCCGCGTTGATTTCCTTCTGAATTGTCTCGGCCGTGTTGTAGCTGACCGATGGGTCCCCTGCCAGTGTACAAGGGTGCCAAGCTTGTCCAGGATGTCGTGGTGGTTGGAGCAGTAGTCGGTGATGGCGTCTACGAACAAGGCCTTTTTGCTGCTTCGCTTGCTGTCGGATTGGGTGATGGTGCCGCGCGCTCAAAGTTCGTTCTTGTTGTTGAAGGACATGTTGAATTTTGTGACCTCGTCGCCCCCGTTGACACTGATGGTGCCGTGGGCAAGGGAATCTTCGAGCTCCGTGTAGCAGGGGTATCGGATGGTGGCGCCCACCGGGAACGTGAATGTATCTGGGTTTACCTTCTCCCGGTTGATAGTTGTAGCTGGGAACCAGCGTGTGGGCTTCTGGGATTCCACCTGTATTGGGGGGTGGGTGGTTGGCGGTGAGGCTGGGCGTCGTGGTACTAGGCGTCGGGTCAGTCGAGGTGGATGGAGTGGTGGGCCTGTGCTGGTCGCCTGCTGGGGACGTTCCCAACTCGGTGAGCATAGTAGCGAGGTCGGACTTATCTTGTGCTTGGGCTGGGTGCTCCTCCTTGATGGTCGGCATGATTGGTGGGGCTTTGTATCGAAACTGCCAGCAAACTGTCCACTTTTAACTGAGCCCCGCCGATGTGGTCGTATGAATAAACTCCTCCTCCTCCTCCTCCTCCTCCTCCGCCTCCTCCTCCTTCTCCTCCTCCTCCTTCTGCTCCTCCTCCTCCTCCTCCCCGTCCTCCTCCTTCTCCTCCTCCTCCTCATCCTCCTCCTCCCCGTCCTCCTCCTCCTCCTCCTCCTCCTCCTCCTCCTCTTCCTCCTCCTCCTCCTCCTCATCCTCCTCCTCCCCTCCTCCGCCTCCTCCTCTGCGCGTGCCCCCCGGCGCGCTCTCCTCCCTTGCCCCTCGCCGGCGCGCCCCTCCTTGGAGTGCCACCCGGGCCAAAGGGCAAAGGAGGGGAGGGAGGCAAAAAAAGGGAGAACGAAGGAGGGAGGGAGAGAGAGAGAGAGAGAGAAAGCAGAGAAGCAGGGAGGGAGAAGAGGCGCGGCAGTGGAGCGAGCGAGGGAGAGGAGGAAGCGGGACGCCTGCGGGCTGACGGAGCGCCAGCAGGAGAGGGGAGGGGGACGACCGCAGACGGGACCCGACGAGGACAGGAGGGGGGCCGGCAGGGCAAGGCACGACAGGCAACAGGGCAAGGCGAGGGGAAAAGAAGAAAGGGGCCAAGGCGAGCCCTAAGCAATGAAACCCAACCCCTACCACCGCGGAAACAGGCCTATTTCTTAAGACTGTGGCTAATAACGCGTCTTATCACTGGTTGTGCCATTTGGTGTGCGAGCCTTTTGGGGGGCAGCCCAATCATACTGCAACTGAGCCCTTCCTCCGCCTACCCCAAAAGTGCCTGGTCGAAACCGGGAGCTTTAGAGCACACGCTCCAAAAGGGGTAGACCCCCTGTCCGAAGGCTGAAGCCTCGAGCAGAAGGGGGAGCTCCTCCAACCGTAGGTGGGCACATTGGGGCGTCTGGTATTGATTCCCGATCGCCAGTCGCACCGTCGAACTTGTACGCACGCAATCGTGAATCCATAGTTGGCGGGCGACTCTCTCTCCCACTCTCGGGTGCAACTCTGCTTCTGGGCACTGGGGGCTTTAGTTGGGCCCGACTGGAGCTCTGCTTCTTCGCGTTCTGGCCTTGCTGGTCTCCCCCCGTGCCTTTGGGAGGGATGGCCAGCCGTGTCTTCTTCAGCGGCGGGGTCTGCGCCGTCTCCGTGGCCGATGCCGAGCTCGGCTCTCCGCGTGGTGCCCCGTGGTGACCCCAGCGGCGACGTGCGCTCGGTGTGCCCCTCTGGGTGCGAGTTGGCCTTCTTCTCCAGGCCCGGGGGCCCAGCCGTGGGCGATCCACGAGCTCGGGTCGGAGGCACTCCGCGGCGGCCTGCGGTGCCCGTGGTTCCACCCCTTCGCCATCCACTTCTCGAGCTCCTCGGGCGCGATGTCCTCCGTCGCCGTCTTCTCGCCGCCGTTACTGGCGAGGGTCTTGATCCCTGGGAGCCACTTGGTTTGCATGTTGGTGTCGTCGTTGGTCGGCTCATCCGCTTGCCCCGAGCTGTAGTCCCTTTGGCACGGTGGGGGCCAGACCCTGTTACGGTCTGTAAGTAGCGCTCTCGTGTTCACGATGTGCTCGATGCTCTCGCTGGTGATCTCGAGCTGTCACACAATTGCAATGATGCCATCCTGCTTGTCCAGCTCATCCTGCAGGCCCGTGCAAGTGCTCGATTTGATTATGGTCAAGCTCTTTTCTACGCGCTTCTTCTGGTTCTGGAGGGCCCTGTCGATGAATCCGGGATCCACGTTCTGCTTGGTGGTTACGGTATCGATGCTATCCCAACCCTTCCTTGGTTGGGTTCTCGTTTTGCATAGAGCAGTTGGGTGCCAACTAGCTTCTTCTTCTCCTCCCGCCCTCTGTCCCCCTCTCACCTGCCTGCACCTACCTACTTGCATCCCTCTTGGGGGCCGCGAAGTGTGAAACTATCGCCACTTTTGAGGGCTGCTGGGGGGGGGGCGGCATAGTGGGTCGTGGGTGCCGACGGCAGATTCAAATTAGACCTCGACCTCCCCTGGGGGGCTGCGGACCCGACGAGGACAGGAGGGGGGCCGGCAGGGCAAGGCACGACAGGCAACAGGGCAAGGCGAGGGGAAAAGAAGAAAGGGGCCAAGGCG